CCTTTGGAGAACCAGTGGGAGTTGGGGCTTTTAATATGTGAAAATCCAAAGATTTCCTACGGAAAAGTACCTGCATGATTTCAGCTGCGTTTCACGTGAAAGACTGCAATATTAACTGATCTTGCTACTTGTGTGTTTTTTTTTAAATTTTGTTTCTACCACCCCTTCCCTGCCTAAAGTTTGGGAGATTTTTAAAAAAAGTGTTTTCCCCACCTGCTATTGTTCAGCTGACATTCATCAACAGACCAGAGATTGGGCATGAGATTGAGTTATAGGGAGAGGTTGGCCAGAGTAGGACTTTATTCCTTGAAGCGTTGGAGAATGAAGGGTGACCTTATTGAGGTGTATAAAATCATGAGGAGCATAGATAGGATGAGTAAATATAGTCTTTTTCCCAGGGATGGGGAATTGAAAACTGGGGGGCATAAGTTTAAGATGAGAGGGGATAGATTTAAGGAGGACCTGAGGGACAACTTCTTCACACAGAGAGTGGTGCATATATGAAATGGGCTGCCGGAGAAAGTGGTCGCGGCAGGTACAAGAGCAGCATTTAAAAAACATTTAGATGGGTACATGGATGAGAATGGTTTAGAGGGATATGGACCAAATGTGGGCAATTGGAACTAGCTGAGTGGTTACCGTAGTCAGCATGGACCAGTTTGGGCTGAAAGGCATGTTTCCATGCTCTCTTGCTCTGAGTAGTACATGGATTGATTGTGTGTAGCCACTGACTCATTAGGCAAGTTGATCTTTTGTTGGCAAGTTCTTGGTACGTGTTCAATGAAATATTCCTCATAGTTCATAAACTTTTCTTTACAGTCTTACAGTATTTTTGGGGTTGTTTTGTGTTTTTGGGCTTGTTTCACGTTAAGGCTCTTCAGCCAAATATTACCATCACTGGAACACTTTAAGTCTTTAGTTCCAGGAAATGTTTTCCAAAATAAAATTATTGAGTCCATGGAGCTTTCAGCACATTCATACTGTTCTGTTCAAAACAAATTCTCTATGATCCAGTCTGAATAAATCATACAAATCATACAGTGTTGAAGAGGCCCTTCAGTCTGTTGAGCTGTACTGCCAAAACTGCAATAAATCTACAGTAGTCCCATTTTCTAGCTCTAGACAAATAGCCTTGAATATTATGACATTTCAAGTCCTCATCCAAGCACTTAACTACAATCTTAACCTGCCTGCTATTTTCAGGGATTTGTGGACAAACACCCTAAGATTCCTCTGTTCTTCTGAGTTTCCTAGTGTCTTAACATTCTTCTAGTACTAAGACCACTAGCCTTGTCTTGTCTGATTCCTTCTTCCAATATGTATTACCTCTCACTTATCAGGATTAAGTTCCATCTGCCACTGATCTGCCTATCCTACCAATCCGTTTATTTCCTCCTGCAAACTGAGACCACGTTTCTCACTGTCAATCACCCAGGCAATTTTCATGTCCAACTTATCTATCCTGTGCTTTTCCCTTTTAATTATTAATCTACCGTGTGGGATCTTGCCAATGGCCTTGCTGAAATTCTTATAAACTACAACAACTGCACTATCCTCATTCCAGACACTTGATTAACTCATCAGAAAGTTTCACCAAATTTGTTAGGCATGACCTCTTTCTGACAAAGCCATACTGATTATCCCTGATCAAACCTTGCCTCTTTAAATGGAGATTTAATTCTCTCCTTCAGAATTTTCTCCAATACTTTTCCTACCACTGATTTGAGACTCATTGGTCTGTAATTCCCCAGATTACCTCTATTGCACTTCACGAAAAGAGGGACCACATTAGCTGTCCTCCAGTCCCCTGGCACCTCCTCTGTGCATCATGTCTTTTGCTTACAATAGAAACAATTTAAAAAGACAAGAAGACATTGGACTCTTTGCAATGACTTTCTAATGACATGATTAACTTAAGCATTTTGATGTTGAGCCATAAACTTTGAACCAGCTAATCAGCAAAATTTATTTGTGTCTATTGTTCTGAAGTTTTCAGTGACCAGAATACTTCCATAGGGACATTACATTTACAAGAATTTCCTGTCCTCTATTTTCTCCCCTTTTTAAAGATTTTTGGAAGGTGGATGGAGGAGAACCAGCTCTGAGATCAGGAATGCCTGGCTGTCTGTACAGTAATTTATTCATCCAAGAACAATGGGTTATTCCAGATTATTAGGCTCTGCAATAGTGTGGTAGATAATACATGCATGAATGTTCAGTCTTGTTTAAAATCTAATAGTGATTTTGTCCCATTAGTTTAAATGTTTAGCATTCCATGTGACATTTAATTTTGTTTTGCGTGCTGAAAGGGTAATGATCTAGGCTAGTGTATAATTCCACTCAGCAGGTAGCCACTCTGCACAAATGCACAACCAAACTGAGAATCTGTCTTATCATGGGACCCTTCACAGCTAAGCTATAATTACTTTTAATCACCTGTTCAGACATGTTAAATTTCCAGGGCAGGTGGGACTTGAAGCTGGATTTTCTGGCCCAGAGATAGGTGTACCATAACAACTCTCAAATGCTTTATTTTGGTGTTCATGAGAATGCAAGCAGCAGAGAATGTAATACCCTACTCACTGCATGTGCAGTTTTGTAGGAGCTGTGATAGTAAAGAGAAGAGGGGAAAATCATTGGCTGTTAATAAGAAGTGGCAGCTCTAGTTGATTTTCACTTTTACTCTGGATGTGCAAAGGTCATTTACAGAATCCTGCCTAGCCGCTGAAACCAACTAATTTCATCACAATCAAACTTGGAATCCTACTGTTTGAATAGGGAGTTTTTTTTCCCCTCTCCCCTGAATAAATACAGGTAATTGCGGTAAAAGGGTTAAGAACCACACTGTCCTTTTTTAGAAAATTACTTGAAGGCATTTTTAAGTTGTCTTTTGGATTTATTTTATTAATTTTGTCAAATCTATTGTGAAATACAAAAGGCTTTAATTATCCGTATTTGTGCTGGTAAAGTATGTTTTAGTCATACAGCTGTTCTCTTATGAATGAAACTGCTGTCCAAGATTAGCCTGCAGTACTAATTTTGAAATCTCAACATAGTTTTCACACTCTAAGGCTGTGAAATCAATATCACAGCTGGGTAATATTCAGGGAAGAAGTCAGCAATTAATGTTACTGTGCTCTTGTTTTCCAGGCAAGCAGATGGGAATGGAAAAAGTTGAAAGCCAAAGCCCCCAAAAATGGTCCCCCACCATGTGCTCGTCTCGGACATTGCTTTTCTGTAATTGACAATAAATGTTATTTATTTGGGGGATTAGCTAATGACAGTGAAGATCCAAAAAACAATATTCCACGGTAAGAAACCTGGGTGATTTCTCTCTTTTAAAACTTCTCCTTTTTCAACCTTGATATTCATCCAGAATTTAAAACGTGATAGTGAGTTAATTCCAAGAGAGCAACATATTTGATTAAGTTGTGAATAGGAAATGAAAGATGCTTTCTGATTTTTAGTATTAAAGAGGCACAGCTGCATCCTGGAATTGGGAAGGAAACCAGTTCAGCTTTGTGTTTCCGCTGACTACGTGAGACCGTTGTCAAGGTCATGAGTCCTTTTCCTATGATTATTAGAACACATGATGCAGGGATAGCATCATGAATTGTCTTTAAAAACAAGTCAATTCTTTTTTTTTTGAACTTGCACTTTGAGAAGATAAATTCACACTTATTGTGCAGGGAGCAAATGAGAAGTAAAACACACACGGCTGTTTATTTCACCAGCAACTTAAATTGTGGGCTTTTCACTGTCTGACTTCTCAACTTCAGCCTAGAAGGTACTGTGGAAGCCTGATTCAAATGGCTGTTTCTAACTTAAATGTCAGTAGTGTTATTTCTGACTATGTGAAGCCTGCATTTTGGGATTTTTTGACTGTCACCTTGGTTACATTGTGAAGTTAGAGTGCAATGAAAATTAGCAAATTTTGGTTAAGATTTAGATTATTTTCAGTTAAAGTTATGGAAAACCTACTAAGTAATCTTCCAGCAATTCTAGTGATAATCCTTCTGAAAAATAATAGAGAAGGCACAGAAAATCTTTAGCAGGAGAAGCCAAAAGAAGAGGGCTGAATGTTAAAATTGCACGTTGTACACATGGTACGTTGAATTAAACTAGCATAAGAAGCAGAATATTCAATTTAGAGCGATTCTGTGAAATCAGGAAACACCTTTTCATAAAAAATAGTGGAGTGATGAAACTGTTCCCTCGAGTCTGTGGAATGATTCAAATTTTATGGTACTGGGATCCAGATGTTTTTATTAGGTTGGGGTTTCAATGCATTGGAAGAAAGGCAAGTAAATGGAGAAGGGTCACTGGATCTGAAACATTAACTTTGCTTTCTCTACACAGATGCCACCAGACCTGAGTTTTTCCAGCAATTACTGTTTTCGTTGCAAGTAGATGGAGTTTAAGGTGTGACCTAATTGAGAGGCTGAATAACTCATTTTGTTCCTCTGGTCTTGTCAGATTGCAGTCCTTATAAGCCAGACAAGTTAGGAACTGTAGGTTCCCTTCCCTGAAGGCTGTTGATAACGGTTTGTATTCATGATAGAATGGTAGCTTTCACTATCCTTTCTCTCCTGGTGTCTGTCCACAAATTACTATATGCTGGTTTGGCCAGCGTTTATTGCACATCTCTGTTTGGCTTTGAGAACGTGCTGGTAAGCAGCCACCTTCAACTACTGCAATTTATTTATTGTAGACACCCCCCCCCCCCAAAAAACCCATTAGGCAAATGATTCTCGGATTTTCATCCAGCAATACTGAAGGAACAGCAATATATTTCAAAGACAAGATGGGTGTGTAGCTTGGAAGGGATCCTGCAGGTGGTGGTGGTGTTTTTCAGTTTAGAAGGTGCTGTCCAAGGAGCAATTGTGATTTTCTGCAGTGTATTTTGTAGATGATACTTGCTGCTGCTACTGAGTGTCAGTGCTGGAGGGAATAAATGTTTGTGGATATGATGCCAATCAAGCAGACTTCTTTGTCATGGATGGTATTAAGCTTCTTGCATGTTGTTGGAGCTGCACTCCTCCAGACAAGTGGGGTATATTCCGTCATGCTCCTGACATGTGCCTTGTAGATGGTGAACAAACTTTGGGGAGTCAGGAGGTGAATTACTCACTGCAGAATTCCTAGCCTCTGGCCTGCACTAGTAGCCACAATATTTATATGGTGAGTCCAATTCAGTCTCTGGTCAATGGCAACTTCCAGCATGTTGATGGTGGGAGATTCAGCAATGGTCATGCCATTGTCTGTCAAGGATGAAAGTTAGAATCTCTCTTGTTAGAGATGGTCATTGACGTCATTCGTGTGGTATGAAGTTAGTTGCCAACTGTCAGCCCAAATCTGGATATAAGACCACATGATGTGAAAGTAGAAGTAGGCCATACTGCCTGTCGAGTCTATTCTGCTATTCGTTGAGATCACGGTTGATCTGATAATCCTTAACTTTGCTTTTTTGCCTTCCCACCCCTATGCCTACTTTCCTTGATATTGTCCAGATTTGTATTTAAGCATAAATTGCTCCATATGTTTACATTACCTGTTCAGTAAAGTGTGATGTATGATGTGGTTTATATATGTTTAACGTAATTTAGTTTTGAGTTTTATGCTGGCTGGGTGTAGGTTTTCATTGATCTGAAGGGGTTTAATGACTAATTTGTAAATATTTCTGTAGCCACGGTGCTTTATTTTAAAACACAGTACCCAAGAGTGTAATAGGTTTTCGTTTACATTGGGACGATTTGAGTAAACCAAGTAAACAATTGTTCACTGGGCTCCAGTTTAACTGGTCAAGGATTGATTTTTCTTTTGACTGGGAAAACACATCTCGCTTGGAGGAAAAAATTATTTATTTTCAGTTTGGCAGTTCTATGTTATTCTTGGCTGAAGCTGGGTGTGTAAAGCAGTTGCACTTTAGAAATGAATAGTTTAGAATTGTTACAAATCGGTTACCTCGGTGTAAGTGGTTTAGTAAATGTTCCAAACCAGAAGTGTTTGGTTGAAATCCTGAAATGGTTATTTGAAGCTGAGAATGTTTGTTTTTAAGCTCGGTTGTATGAAGGTTCCAGGAAGAGACCGTATCCAATTCTCAAGACTCTGTTGAAGTCCCAGTTAAATTAACCCCTTATAGGAGTAATAGAGAAGGGAATGCTCTCTGGTGTGCATAATGTAAAGGAGTGCTTTTGACATTAATGGAGTTATATTTTTGCTGTGTGTTTTGAAATTTTAATTTGCACGTAACACAGGTTTTAAAGCAAAATACTATGAATACTGGAAAACAGAGAGACGCAGAATATTGGAGAAATTAGGCAGATCTGGCAGCACCTTTGGAGAGAGAAACTGAGTTAATGTTTCAAGTCCAGTATGACTTCAGAACCGACTCAAAACGTTAACTCTGTTTCTCTCTCATCACATGCTGTCTAATCTGCTGAGTTTCTCCAGCATTCTGCATGTGTTTGTATCTAAATGGTTTGGTTTACTCTATCTTAATTTTTTTCACATAATAACTTCAGTTTAATTTTGAAACCAAATCTGCAGCATTACATGTTTATCTTTTAAGTGAGGCCAACTCATTTAAAACCAAGAATAAATCAAAATGTGATCTCTCAAACAGTCTGGGATCTGTCTTGTCCAGTAATGACATCAGCTGGAATCATGACAAAAATATCTGCAGGATTGAGCATAAAATCTAAATATTCTGGTTTTCATTCAAAAACACTTTGTCTTTTTTTTTTGTAAGGTATTTAAATGACCTGTATATATTGGAACTGAAGCCAGGGTCAGGGGTTGTGGGATGGGACATACCGGTCACCTATGGCACACCACCACCACCCAGAGAGTCTCACACTGCAGTCGTGTATCGCAACAAAGACAATAAAAAACCAAAGCTTGTCATCTATGGTGGAATGAGTGGCTGTCGACTTGGAGATCTGTGGATACTGGATATTGGTAAATTAATATTCTATTTCTGTGCTGTTGACAAATTTGTTTTAGGAGCTCTAACATTTGAAAATGCACTAGTGAAGTGGATAGTATGGCTTCTGCACATTGGTTTCTGGATAATCATACCACATCTAGTGAAGACTTGCTGAAATCGAGTCCTGTATTCCCATTTTTATAAGCTAGGGAAACTGATTTTTGTTTGCTTTCAACTTTATTTAGAGGCCTGATTTGCGACTCCCCTTTGGGCTATCATAGCAACAACACAGAGGTAATTAAGATCAGGTAACTTTGCAAAGGCAAATGGTCCAACATCAGACCTCTGATCTCTATGGTTGTGCCATCGACTGAACTGTAGAAACTTGTTACCTGCTTCCACCCTTTAGTTAGATTTCTGCCTGCCCTGTCTCCTGACAAATGCCAGTGCTTGCTGATGTATGTCTCTTTTCTCCAGTACCTCACCAGATTAAGGATATAAAGTAACTTCATGTTCGAGTCTAGACTGTGTTGGCAGATAATTTGGGAATGGAGGAAATCATTGTCAAGTGGGTCTTCATCTGTCTTAATGTGCCCTATGCACACAAGCATCCGTGTAGTTTCCAGAAGAGATAGCTGATAGAGACCTGTACCTGTCCAGGTGACTCCTATGTGTGGCAGCACTTTTTGCTCCACCTCCATTTACTCAACCTCCATTTACTCACTAAATTAATTCCTTAATCATCAGAATTTTAAGGCTTTAGATTTTGATAAAATTTTTGATTTGGAAAGATGTTTCAATCATAGAACGATACGACACAGAAGGAGGCCATTTGTCTTGTCCTTAGCCAGATCTTTGTAAGACGCATATAATCAGTTCTATTTGGCCTGCTGTTTCTTCATGGCTCTGCAAGTTGTCCTTCACCTCCCCCCAACACCCCCCCCCCCCCCTCCACCCACATCAAGTATTTAATCCTATGAGGAGTACCTGTATTTATTTTTAAATGTCCTCTTTGATTCTCCTCTGGTTCTTTAGTCACTTACCAAAAAAAGTCTCCTGTTTGCCCAGCCTGTCTCCTGAAGTAATATTTCACACATTTATTTACCAAATGCTTGTATTCTATAAGGTTAACGAGATTCTTCAATATGTTTTATTTGTATGATGCAGAGAACTTAACATGGAATAAACCAGAAGTTGCTGGAGTTCCGCCGCTGCCCCGAAGCCTACACTCTGCTACGATGATTGGGAGCAAGTGAGAATCTATTCTATGAAGCGTCTTGCATCTAATTCTTAAGAACTACACTGCCAACTATACTTGCAACGCACTGAATTTTATTGTACCCTTCTTTCCCTTCCCAGAATGTATGTTTTTGGTGGCTGGGTCCCCCTTGTGCTGGAAGATGTCAAAGCTCCTACGCATGAGAAAGAGTGGAAATGCACAAATACTCTAGCATGCCTGGATCTGGGTATGATGTGTTGCCTTGTAACTATTCCACTTATTAATGCTTTTTAATCATTGTCCTTACACTGTTGTATTAATTGGAAATCTTCAGTGGAAGCGTAAGTTTAAAGTTTTGGCAAAGATCTGTAGCTTGGGTTGAGGGTGAGGTTGTTGACTTGCTCACCGAGCTGGCTTGTTTTTGTTCAGACGTTTTGTCACCATGCTAGGTGACATCAAGAGTGGAGTCTCTGATGAAGTGATGTTATTCTACTCCGCTTGGGATTTCTACTGTCCGGTCCGTTATGGTGAGTAGTGTCACTTCCGGTTTTGATCTGTATGGGTTTCAAAACTGGAAATGACACTACTCACCATAACGGACCGGACAGTAGAAATTCCAAGCGGAATAGAATAACATCGCTTCATTGGAAGCTCCACTGATGATGTCATCTAGCATGGTGATGAAACGTCTGAACAAAAACAAGCCAGCTCAGCAAGCAAGTCAACAACCTCACAAACAGAATAAGTGCCAAAGTTGGTGTCTTGTACATTTGTCATTGAAAATTCATTGTAACTTGGGAGTTCTGACAAGGTATTGTGCTCTTGCAACTGGAAGTAAAGGAATCAAATACTATGTAAACCAGTGAACTTTGTCCTCTATCTGTCATTTGAGCCATGAATTGAGATTACTGACATAAACAATCCTGTACAGCTCTAATTTTTCAAAGATGTTATCTTGGAGATGGAATATGTTGAAGTTTGGGAGTGGGGTGGTGATAGGTGACCTTAGAAACTTTTAAACTATGTTTCCCCTTTTTGATTCTGAATGATCCCCATTCTCTTCCCTTATTCTTTCAATGAAATGTCTGCATTGCTGGCAAGACCAGCAATTAGCCCTTGAATTGAATGGTTTGCTAGACCATGTGGGTGAACATCTAGGAGTCAACCACATCCTGGAGTCCTTTGTAGGCCAGAGCCATTAAAAATGGCAAATTTCCTTCCCTAAGGTGGTTTGTGAACTAGATGGGATTTGTAGAACCTCTTATGCTGATTTTGTGATCATCATTATTGAGCCTGCCTTCAAATTCATAATTAATTGGGAGAAAATACGAAAGAACTGCGGATACTGTAAATCAGAGACAAAAACAGAAATTGCTGGAAAAGCACAACAGGTCTGGCAGCATCCGTGGAGAGAAATCAGACTTAACATTTTGGGTTGAGTGACCCTTCCTCAGAATTGATGAGCTCCTCAGAACTTAATTATCGAATTTAATTTGCACCAGCTGCTGTGGTGTGATTTGAACCCATGTCCCCACTACGTTAATTTGGGCCTTCAGCTTACTAGTTCTTTACCATTACCATACATCATTGCCGCCTCCTCAATAAACTCTTGGACAACATGACATATGAATGCAAACAATCATTCATGTGTGGGTTTTGCTGCACCAACATGACTTCAAGAGTCTATCGATCTCATTTCTTTGTTGAACTAGAAACAATGACTTGGACGCAGATCTCCACGGAATCATTTGAAGATAACATTCCTCGTGCAAGAGCTGGTCACTGTTCAGTTTCCATAAGCACACGGCTTTATGTGTGGAGTGGCCGAGATGGCTACAGGAAAGCTTGGAACAATCAAGTCTGTTGTAAGGATCTGTGGTATCTTGAAACGGGTAAGTGCATTTTAGGAAAATTGATTTACAGTGCTGTACATAAAATTGCCTGTTAGAAAAGTTGAAGGTATAAAAGAGAATGTTGAAAAGGTATTTTAGAGATCCCAGGTTTTATACTTTGAGAGCGTGAGTCTATATATTAGTATGGTGACCAACGCTCATCTCGCAACCAACAATGTTAAAACAGATTATTTGTTCATTGTCACATTACTGATTAGGGGACCTTTGTTGCATGCATTTTGGCTTTTCTGTGACTACAGGTGTGTCACAACCCATTTGAGAAAGGTGCAAATATTCGAGTCTCCCTATTCCTGTGGTCATAAAAGTTAAAAGTGTACAATTTGTCCACCTGATAGACTAAAGTTTACGGAAAATGCTGACCAGGGTTCTGTACTTAACAACATGAATTAGTATTTACTGCAAATTAGTCAATTTTAACCACCAGCTGTACAAATATGAATTATCAACATGTATCTTTACTAGCTGAAACTCTAACCCCTTCTTAAACCCCAATGCACACATGTAGTCAGACGCAGATAGACAAACAAGGGTGGATGGAGGAAAAATACTGGGCAAACACAGTTCAGTAGCACCAGTACACAGAATTTGATGAGGTGTTCCTTTTGCTGCTTCTAAGTCCTTCTGATCTCCAGTCTCCTTATTTTCAACTGTTCCAAGTATTTTTTGTTCAAGTCCCAGGGTGTTTGACACATCCTATCTAACACTTTCTTTCTTTTTCAGAATCTAGTTCAATGCAACAACTCCAGAAATAGTGAAAGAGGATAGCTAGCTTTCTTTTAAGTTTCTCATTATATTACTGCAGAAGGAGAGAGAGCCATTTCTATTTTGCAGTTTGGAGGCTTCTGTCATATTGTTCCCACACAAGCCAGCCTCCACAGCTGGTCCTGATTGCGCAACCAAATCACCCCTGTCTATGGAAGAAGCTTGCCCTGTACGCGCACCCATGGTGACAAGGCATCTTAGACATCTACTCACGTTGTTTGAACAAAGCGACAGTGTAAATACAACTCCCAAGAATACCAGTTACTTTTCTTTAAAAGTACAGTAGCTCCTTTTTAGTGCAAGGTTTTAGTAGTATCCTTTGGCCATTTTGGTCCACGATTCAAAATAAAGAAAACACAGTCGTGAGTGCTGAATCCCTTTATTTTCTGTGATATTCATACATGATGAGGATGAGAATGTGGGAGAGATGATAAATCTATAGATGAGACAAAGATTGGCTGGATAGTTGACAGTGAGGAGAAGGTGGTTGTTACAGGAAGATACACTCATTGGGCAGATCAGTGTAAATGAATTTTAACCCTGACTAGTGCGAGTTGATGTACTTTGGAAGAAGGAACAAAACAAGGGAGTACTCAGTGACAAGACACTGGGAAGCTCAGAGAAATTTTTGGGTGTTTGCCCACAGATCCCTGAAGATGGCAAGACAGGTTAATAAGGTAGTTAAGGCAAATGGGATGCTTGTTTTTAATCAGTCATGGTATAGATTATAAGTGCAAGGAGCTGTACAGAACTTCAATTAGGCCACAGCTAACATACTGTGTGCAGTTCTGGTCACCAGAAGAATGAGAATAAGAAGAATGAGAATGCTGTGGAGGAGGTGCAAAGGAGATTCAGCAGGATGTCGCTGAAGCTGGAGCATGTCAGCAATGAAGAGCGGCTGAATAATCTCAGGTTGTTTTCTTTGGAACAGGGAAGGCTTGGGGGTGGCGGGGGAAGACTGAGGGACATAAACAGAATGAATAGAAAACAACCGTTTCCCTTAGTTGAAGGGTTGGTAACCTGGGACATAATTTTAAAGTGAACAGCGTGAAATTTAGAGGGAATTTGAAGGAAAGCCTTCTCGCCCAGAGGGTGGTGTTGGTGATCTGGAATGCACTGTCTGGGACGGTAGTTAAGGTGGGAATCCTCACAACCTTTTAAAAAGTACTTGAGTGAGCACTTGTAGTGTCATAGCATTCAAGGCTATGGACCTAGAGCTGGAAAGTAGGACTAGTGGAGGTAGTGGTATATTTTTGGCAGTACAGACTTAATGTACCAAAAGCTCTCTTCTGTACTGTATGATTCTAAAAAGGTGTGGTCTTTACAGTGGCTAGACTTGAACGGCTGTGCAGTGCTTTGAGGCATTCTGAAGTTGTGAAATACACTACATGGTTGTAACTTCTTTCTTTTTATTAAAAAAATGAAGCAGAGTTAAAGCTCTGCAAATGATTGATTTACACCATATTTATGATATAGTCTAGTTTTAGGTCTCTCCTTCAATTAAGCTGCCAAGACACAAAGATGGTGCTAAGGATAGGGATGAGTGGCATTTGGTTAAAATGGAAAAACTGAACAGAACCAAGAATATTATAAAGAGAGCTGATAGAAATATTCAAAATTATAAGGTGTTTTGATGAGTTAAGGAGGCTGGGGATAGCGATTTCCATTCTTCAGGGATTACATTTGAGTGCATCACCAAAAGAACAAAGGGAGAGATTGGGAGAGATTATGGTAAGTTGTTAGGAAATGGAGGGCCTTACCTGAAAAATTGCATCAAATTAATCCATAGTAGTTATTGAAGAGTGATAGTTAAACGCTTGGAAATCATTGGCCTGCGGATGACACCAAAGTCGGTGGAGTTGTCGATAGTGCGGAAGGATGTTGCAGGTTACAGAGGGACATAGATAAGCTGCAGAGCTGGGCTGAGAGGTGGCAAATGGAGTTTAATGCGGAAAAGTGTGAGGTGATTCACTTTGGAAGGAATAACAGGAATACAGAGTACTGGGCTAATGGTAAGATTCTTGGTAGTGTGGATGAGCAGAGAGATCTCGGTGTCCATGTGCATAGATCACTGAAAGTTGCCACCCAGGTTGATAGCGTCGTTAAGAAGGCGTACAGTATGTTAGGTTTTATTGGTAGAGGGATTGAGTTTCGGAGCCATGAGGTCATGTTGCAGCTGTACAAAACTCTGGTGCGGCCGCACTTGGAGTATTGCTTACAGTTCTGGTCACCGCATTATAGGAAGGATGTGGAAGCATTGGAAAGGGTGCAGAGGAGATTTACCAGGATGTTGCCTGGTATGGAGGGAAGGTCTTATGAGGAAAGGCTGAGGGTCTTGAGGCTGTTTTCGTTAGAGAGAAGAAGGTTAAGAGGTGACTTGATAGAGACATACAAGATGATCAGAGGATTAGATAGGGTGGATAGTGGGAGCCTTTTTCCTCGGATGGTGACGCCTAGCACGAGGGGACATAGCTTTAAATTGAGGGGTGATAGATATAGGACAGATGTCAGAGGTAGGTTCTTTACTCAGAGAGTAGTAAGGGCGTGGAATGCCCTGCCTGCAAAAATAGTAGACTCGCCCACTTTAAGGGCATTTAAATGGTCATTGGATAAACATATGGATGATAATGGAATAGTTTAGGTTAGATGGGCTTCAGATTGGTTTCACAGGTCGGCGCAACATCGAGGGCCGAAGGGCCTGTACTGCGCTGTAATGTTCTATGTTCTATGTTCTAAATAGGTAGTGCTTTGAAAACTGGTATGTATTTGGAATGGGCGGCTGGTCTCCTTACATACTGTAGAATTCTGAGCAAGAAATCATCATCATAGATCAAGGTACATAGGAGTAAGTTGTTGATTCACATCTTAAAGTCCAGTGTTATGAAACATCATTTGGCATTGAGAGATAGTGAAGTCAAAAACTCTAAAACAGCATGCTGTTTTGGGTGGGTGCATGAGGTAGATTGATCAAATGTCCCATCCATCTTAACTATGTTTTTTATCTCCCAACCCATTCTATCTATACCTACTTTTAGGGAAAATAAATTTTCCATTGCTCTTTTTCCTTCATAGAAAAGCCTCCTGCTCCTGGCAAAGTCCAACTGGTTCGAGCAAGTACCAACTCACTTGAGGTTAGCTGGGGGTTGGTCTCCACTGCCGACAGCTACTTGCTTCAGCTTCAGAAATATGATGTTCCAACGGTCACTACTGCTGTTACTCCTTTGCCAACCTCTGCAGTTACGGGCATCCGGCCATCCTGCAGTCCCGCTCCTGCAGCAGCATCAGTATCACCTTCTCCAGTACAGTCAGGAGTCCGCTTTGTTACACAGACGACCCCTGCTGTGGGAACCCAGGCTGCATCCCTAACCACCAGTGCAACGTCGCCTTCTGTAGTTCAGATTCCTACTGCTGTAGCTTCTCCACGTGGGCCAGGTAAGATACTTCTAACTTTTTATCTGGCAGAAAAAATACTAATGGAATCTTTGTACATGTTAAAGTCACCATAGTGTCAGAGAACCATAGGCCTGCTCTCCCATTAGAGAAACGATGGTGTTGCTTTAACCCGAGGATCACTGTGCTTCAGTGAGAGGCGAGAGTGAGCAGGTGGGTCCTTCATGGTGACCTCAATTGGTACGGGAATTGAACCTCCACTGTTGGCATCACCATGTATCGCATACCAGGCTGTCCAGCCAACTGATCTCACCCCCCAACACTGTGCGCATGTATGATGCACATGCAAGAGTTGCAATTTTTTTGACAAATATCAGTGGGGTTAATACACTTATTATTCGTGTGTAAGGAACAAAGCAGTTTGAAGCACAGATATACATTGTGATCTGCAAATCATTGTAAGTCTAGTGAAAATGGCAACATGCCTTCATGCTCATCTGCTACATTTGTACTGTTTAAAGCAAATTAACTCCCCACAGAGAGTCTAGGCTTGCATTTCAATAATTAATGTTCCAAATCTATTAAACCCTGAAAAACTATTGAAACTGGCATCTCAGTTTTTCTTCTGTGGCTTTTAAGCCTGTCCCTTAATCCAATATTTCTCTTCTCTGTAAATTGGCTCTAATTCATCTGAGTTCTTTATCATTGTTTGCTATTTCTTTAAATTGCATTGGTTAAATAGGTTGACTGTTGGCTCATCATTCACCAAAGTCAGTGTTGCACTTAAACTTCCAACAATTCATGGCACAATGATTTTTAAAGCTGATGGTTGAGGGTGGAAACATCTTGACAAAGACGCATGACTACACTCGACAATTTCTAGTCAGTATTATGACTGACAGGTGGAATGTGCTAATAATCCTCCAATCACATCATTAATGTGAATATGTTGATTCAGTTACTAAATTGGCAATTGATTCTCTTGTACTACTAAGCAGAACAAAGGAAACATTCCCCAGACGACTCTAACAAACTTTCAATAATCCATTTATTGCAAATAAAACATTTTCTTTAAAGCAAAAGTGGAAGTTGCTGGAGAAATTCAGCAGGTGACCTTGGATCCAAAAGGTTAACTCTGCTTTCCCTTCACTGATGCTGCCAGAACTCCTCAGTTTCTCCGGCAATTTCTTTGTTTCAAATTTCCAGCATTCGCAGTTCTTTGTTTTAGTCTTAAAACAAGTGACTTTAAGTACTGCTCAACACCTAAGTTTTATGATCTGGAATTAAACTATCCCTTACTCCCAAACACAGACACTCACACAACACCAAAAGACAAGTCTCTGCAGAGAAGATTTTTTTAAAATTCTTTAAGACAGGGAAAATACAACCCCTTTTGGTCAAATGGCTGGAAAAAAATGATAGAATGTGATGACTTCTCACTTCCACTGGATTTTCTTTTAATGAAGCCAAATTGCTGTCAGCTGCAAACTGATGATAACTATCCAGTTCTGACTGCAATCAACCTGGATTTGAGTCTTTGGTGAAAAGAATAAATGCAGCATCCTTGGACAGAGAGCAAGCTAATATTATGCGCCTGGATGACTCTTCATCAGAGCAAATCTTTGGTACCTGTCATAGTCCAGCTTTTCAGGCTTTGAAACTGTTTCCCAAAAAAACAGTACCGGATTTCAGAGATCCTTCTACCGAAAAAAGGATATCAGAAGACAGACTTGAAGCTTTTGAATTGTTGTCTTTATTGACTCCTGAGCTTGTGAAACACCATTTTCAGCACAGAAAAGGTGGTTATGCATAGAGACCCCTTGTCTTTTCAAAGCCAGGTTTTCCACTAATGAAAGCATCAAATTTCATCTCTCATTTGCTTTGTTTAGCTGTTTTTGTCAGGAATCATTTTTATTTTTCTGTAAACAGTAGCTGGCTTATGGCACACATCAAACTATTGATGTTACTCAACAAAACCCTGTTTAATTCAGAAAATATCCAAACCATTCTAGATCTTCCAAATGTTCCACAGCGTTTACGTACAAATTTGTATTCCCAACAAATGTTTGTTTTAACTCGCTGAGTGTATACATCTATGTGAATGCTTAAAGCCTTCAGTGATGTGGGATAAAGGCATCTTCTGATGTGGTGTGATAAAATAATATGTTGTATTGTGGTGATGGTGTTATTTGGGAATTTGGATTCTAACATGGAGGAAAATTGATTTTAAATGTCAGTTCTGTGGAAGTGATTTCTTTTCAGAAATGAGGTTGGGTAGTAATTTTCAAGTAGTGATTCAAATGTCAGTTGCAAGAAAATATGTGACTTGTGTTAAATGACCAGTTGGTTACCTGTGAAGTTGATTGATTGAGTTTACAAAGTTGAACTTTTATGACTTGCGCGAAAACAGATGGTCAAGAGCCACGAGTAGCTTGGGTTCAGGAAAAAAGTTGTCATCCTAGCAGAGGGGCAGATTTTTTTTTAATTTGTAGAAATCTCCAGGCCGAGAGAATTTAGTTTGTAGAAGTCTCTGCGCCATCAGCACTGGAAAGAGTGGGTTGAATAAGAAATTTTTAAGTTAAAATGTGAATGATGCTTCACTGGAATTGAGTATCTTTGTAAAGGATGTTGTTGGGAGGAAAAGATTTGAGTTTTTCTTTCTACTATTTATGTTAAAATTTTTCTAAATGTTCACATTTTTATTATCCTATCTATATAGTATGTTTAGAGCTGTTTTGTTTCTCTTTTGTATAATAACCTGTGTTCTTTTGTTTTTTAAAAAAAAATGGCCAGGTCAGTGTGAATATGTTTAGTAACTGTCCGCCACTGTAACCAAACTGCAAAAGTAAAGCTTTTGTCTTATCAAATCAGGTTTCATTCTGAGATCTGACTTGTCCAATATTACATTTGGAAAAGCATGGCCTAATTAGGGACAGTCAGCATGCTTTGTGCAGGGCAGGTAATGTCTTACTAACTTGATTGAATTTTTCAATGAGGGGGGAGCAGTTGATGTTGCTTGCATGGATTTTAGTAAGGCTTTTGACAAGGTCCCTCATGGCAGTCTGGCCCAGGAGATTAAGATGCATGGGATCCGCGGTGACTTGGCCACGTGGATTCAGAATTGGCTTGCCCATAGAAGACGGAAAGTGTTTTTCAGGCTGGCATTAGAATCACTACTGTGTGGAAACAGTCTATTTGGCCTAACAAGTCCACACCAACCCTCCAAAGAGCATCCCACCCAGGCTCGCCCTCTACCCTATAACCCTGCATTTCCCATAGCTAATCCACCTAACCTACACATCCCAGAACACTATATGGGCATTTTGCAAGGCCAGTCCACCTAACCTGTACGTCTTTGGATTGTGAGAGGAAACCCCCACAGACATGTCGCCCAAAGCTAGAATTGAACCCAGGTCCCTGGTACCGTGAGGCAGCAGTGCTAACCACTGAGCCACCATGCCATCCCGGGTCTGTGACTAGTGGTGTTCCACGGGCATCTGTACTGGGACCTCTGCTGTTTGTGATATATATAAATGACTTGGATGAAAATGTAGATGGGTGGGTTTGTAAGTTTGCGGGCGATACGAAGATTGGTGGAGCTATGGATAGTGTAGAAGGTTCCCAAAGGATACCGGGGGCTATAGACCAGTTGCAGATATGGGCGAAGAAATGACAGATGGTGTTTAATCCGAGTAAGTGTGAAGTGCTGCACTTTGGCGGGGGAAAGTAAGGAAAAGTATATAGTTAAGTTCAGGACTGAACAGCATTGATGTACAGAAGGATCTTGGGGTTCAAGTCCATAGCTCCCTGAAAGTAACCACGCAAGTAGATAGGGTGGTAAAGAAGGTATATGGCATGTTTGCTTTTATTGGTCAGGGAATTGAGTACAAGAGTCAGGATGTCACGTTGCAGCTTTGTAAGACTTTGGTTAGGCCACATTTAGAGTATTGCATTCAGTCCTGGTTGCCACATTACAGGAAGGATGTGGAGGCTTTGGAGGGGTTGCAGAAGAGGTTCACCAGGATGCTGCCTGGATTAGAGTAAGGGCTATAAGGAGAGGTAGAAAACTCGGGTTGTTTTCTCTTGAGCGGTGCAGGCTGAGGGGAGATTTGGTAGTAGCCATCCATAAAGTTATGAAATGCATAGTTAGGGTTGACAGTCAGAATCTTTTTTTCCCCAGAGATGAAATGTCTAAAACTAGTGGGCATACATTTAAGGTTAGAGGGGGACAGTTCAAAGGAGATGTGAGAGGCAAGTTTTTTTAAGAGTGGTAGGAGTCTGGAATGTACTGCCAAGGGTGATGGTGGAGGCAGGTACAATAGGGGCATTTAAGGTACCTTTAGAGAAGCACATGAATATGCAAGAAATGGAGGGATATGGACCAATGGCAGGCAGAAGGGATTAGTTTCGTTTGGCGTCATGTTTGCCACAACATTGTGGGCCAAAGGGTCCGTTCCTGTGCTGTACTGTTCTATGTTCTATTATCATCAGATGGGATCATAACAGTGATGTTGAGCAGTACAGATAAGAGGTTTAGCTGAACGTCGTCAAAAGAAACACTTGGGCACTGAGTGGCATCAGAGACGGGACAGATCCCATGCAACGATGAGGAATTCACCTGGAAGTCCCTGAACTAACAGCAATAATGTACAATGGTCGTATCTATTGCTTGCAATTTGTAGAACCTAGCTAAAGTGTGCATTTGCCCATTGATCAGTAATGATTAACCCCCAGAGATAATCCTTTAATGAGAAGTGCTTTGCGACATCTTAAGGATATGATAGTGCTACAAAAATGAGTCATTGTTCTCTTCTCCACCTCCCTGTCTCCATCCTTTCCTTTACCTCTAAGTAAGGTTATGGACTGATTTCATTAGTCTTAGATATATGCAGAATAATGGCTAAACTAAATAATGGCACATTGGCTTCTAAATTTATAGCTATGTTATCTGTTCCAAACAGTACTTCATTAGCTGTAAAATGCTTTAGGATGTTCATGAGCATACAAAAGCGTAATGGAAATACATGTCTTTCTCTTTTGGGCCTCACTGGTTTCTTTCAACTGATATTTAATTGATCTCTTGTTACAGCCTCACCAATGATCAGAGCCACGACAGGGCAGCCAGTGGTTGCATCAGCAGCTTCAACGACACCCCTCATCACTGTGCAACGACAAGCTACACCTCAGGGCAAAACACCTATCTCTGTGGCAGCCCTTCCACCAGGTGTTCGCATGGTGATGCCAGCACAGACCACAGCAGGGACTGTAAGTTTTGTGTTGTGGCTTCTTGAAGAGTACAGTCTTCAGTAAACTGTTTTGCAGGTGCAGAACTGTATATTCTCTCACGTTTGTCTCAAAACTCTAATTTCTGGTCAGAGTCCTCGGGCTGGGTAACTGCTGATGCAACTTAACAAATTAGTGAGGATGCTAATTCCAGCTGCCACTTTATCAAAACAAAGCTTTTGATTTCAGGCATATGTTTAACAGTCAACATTCTAGGCTGTTGTAATTTTTGTTTTGCAACTCAACTGTGGTAGTGGTTACTTGGAGCATTACACCAGAAAACTATTTTGTGGCCACCTTAGTAACCCGGTAATCTGAGAATTTTGTATTTACTAAGAGAGCCTCTGGCCTATTGCCTATTCAGTCGACAGGCCCTAATTTGTAAAGTTAGTCCTTGGGTTAGGGAAAGGGGAAGAAAATCAAGCAGCATTCTCATCATTACTTATTATCTAATAATTTTTACAAGAATGATAAAGGAATGCTGGAAGAAGTATTCAGCATGTTATTCATCATCTCTGGAGGAAATGGACTGAAGGGTCTTTTTCCATGCTGTACATGTCTGTGACTCTAGAAAAAGATACAAATTTGTTCTGGATTGACGACCTTTCATCAAAACTGGAAGGTGTTAGGTTTTAAATAGAGAGACACAGAGGTAATGGCAGGAGATAATAGGTAAAGTCTGTGACAGGATAGAGGACAGAAGAAATTAAATGATAAAAGGGATCATGGTATAGGGTGGGGGGAGAAAGGGTGATAATAGGATAACAATGGCCGGTGGAGGGGGGAGCTTATGGTGGTTAACACAGTGAGTCTTACCAAATGAGTTTATGAAGCCCTGTTGCCTGGGAATGGTGGATGAAGAGCTGGTAGACCTCTGATCTAGACAACTCGCTGTGTACCATTTGGGAGCATCCTCAGTCTGAGTGCCTAAGCATCCTCTTCTACGAGCAGTAGTTAAAATCATCTCTTATTAAAAATATAGGTGTGTATGAATGTTAGGTCATAACATGTGGGCTTAGCTTTTATTCTTTCACTGAGCTTTTCCATCAACTTCTGTTTTTGTGACCTCTCTGCTCTTGTACTTTATACCCCTATTGATAAATCCATCCGAAGGATACATGATGGTTTATTAATCGCTTTCTAAACCTGTCCTGCTGCCTCTTTCAATGACTTGTGCACATATACATGCAGGTCCCTGTGCTCTTGCACCCCTTCAAGCGTTGTACTCTTAATTTTATTGTTGTCCATGTTCTTCTTGCCAAAATGAATCACTCCATATTTCTCCACATTGAACTTCATCTGCCATCTGTCTGTCAACTCCTCCAACTTCTGTGGTTGACCCCCCACCCACAGCCTCCAACCTCATCGTTCCCCAACCCCGCACTGCCCGTTTCTATCTCCTTCCCAAAATCCATAAACCTGACGTCTCTGTGTCTCTGTGTCTCTGTGTCTCTGTGTCTCTGTGTCTCTG